GCTGAAAGTTGAGAGTACAGAAAGGAATGAGAAACTGGCCTTCCATCAAATTCAGCAAAGATTTTCACTTTTTTTGAAGGGCTGATCATTCTCAATGGCGTAATCTATGAAGTGAAGACGCAACAGATAGCACTAAGACAAAGTGGGAGAATCTTGTATTTTCTATGATGAGTGGAATAAATCACAACATGATTTGGGTACCATTTGTGTTGGTTTTGTCTATCTTATTATAGGTGTCAAAATGAGTTGAAGAGTTTAGACCTAATAAAGCCAGGTTCACTTTGGGCATGATCGACTTGGGCGGCCAGCCATAAGAACCTCCAATGGGCAAGCATATTCACATCTTTTACCACTAACGCAATCTTCATCAGTCCTAGAAGTTATGCAATTCATTGATCAAGGTCTCACATACTAATTAATTCCTACAACTCCTTTCAATCGAGTTTGTTGAGATCAAAAGTGAAAGAAAGGTTACATATTTTAAATTTTAGGACAGATGCACTAAAATAGATGTATTTGTGCATATACTATTCAAGAAACATTAAAATATAAAATAGTTGAAAGGAATATTGACACAATGATACAATGACCCACTGGGCTTATTAAGTTGGCCTAGCTAGAATTAATTGAAGCCTAACTAACTAAAATATGTTTACTTGGTGCAAAATCGTGTTTTGAGAAATTGTTGAAAGTTGTGTTTCACTTACCTGATTTTGGAAGCCTCAGATGTCACCATGTGTGGCCTCCAACACCGTTGGATTGTTGACTGTTAAGTGACTCTTTTAAAAGGGCTTCTAGGGTTTGAGTTCTACTCTCCTGACTTCGAGACTCTTGCATTTTCTCTGTGCTCTCTGCGACGTTCTCTCGTGACCTCTCTTCTTCTGTAGTAATCAAATATACTCATTTGATTTCTGATTTTCTCTCAATAGTGAGTAATCTTGTGTGATTTCTCTGTTTGAATATTTGTTCTTGTGTGAACCGTGTGTTACGTCTGAAGAGAGATCTTGTACTTGTGTGATATTGGTCTAGTCTGAGTGTCTACCTTTGTATTTCTACTTTGGGACTTGATTCAAGCATAACTATGGTTATTCTTCGAGATTGAGGCACTGATTGTATGAAGTTTGATATGTGGGCTTTCGAATAATACAAGATACGGTTCTTTTTCATTTTGTAGTTTCTTGCTTTTATGATTTCATTTTTTGTTCGAGTTATTTACAGTTTATTGTGTTAATCATTTACACTTCATTTTGGTTTCTTTTGGTATACATATTATTGTTGATTTGTGAGCTAATCTGTTTGATCTCCTCCCAACAATGGTTATAGCATGTAGACTCTTTCACCAATAGTTTCTCAAAATTCATGCGACACAATGCATATCACTATGACATAATCCAACGCAATAGATTTTTATCAAGTATTGTAGAAAATATATTCACAATATGATAACTTTACCTTGATTAGGATGGGTATAGCTATAGCCTACAGAAAGGGATATGCTATATGTCGATGGGATGGGATTAGCATAGCTAGCACCATGACTGGATGTAGATTGTTTATGGTTAAAAATTATGTCACTCGTGACTAATTGACTAATGCTTTTTCAAAGAATCAGTAGATGAAAACCCTGTTAGTGATTTGCGATGAATTTATTTCCATCACATATATTATTTTTTTTAAATAAATAGTAATAGACGAATAGAAAATAAACCAAGCTATGAAAATATTTCTCTCGCCATTTAAAAAATAAACAAATCAGTCGAGCATATTATATTTATTGAGGCGAATGATTATATCTGTATTTAAGAAGCCAAGAAATAATACATATTTGTCTGAAAATGAGTCGGAATTTTGTTGGAATAAATAATTCATATTTGACCACTAACGATCGGGTTTTTCCTATTAATTCAAATTTAATTGTTCCTAGCTAAAGATAGAACATGCACAATGATTTTATGTATTTTCCTATGACATCTAGCTATTACATATTTGTACCAAAATCTTTATTATTTTGCAAAGCCATTTAAAAAAAATAAAAATCAGATTATATATATCTACGAAACCTTCTTGTCTTCAAACTAGTATCAAAGCCAAGAAAAGAAAAATAATGTCAAACAATAGTCTGGTTCTCTCGTGCCTCGTTTTAATAAAGAAAATTTTGACTATTGTACTAATCTAACGAAATCGTGTCTTGAATCTCAAGATTTATGAAATATTGTTGAAGGAAGACGAACAATCAGACAATGAAAATCAATTACCTAAAGCACATATGAATCTCCTAAAGATAAAAGGCCACAATGCACTCTTCCAAATCTTTGAGGGCAAAATTTGATAAATTGGAGATGAAAGACAATGAAATTTTTTATAATATTTTAAAAGAGTTCCATTTCAAATTCTATGGGATCAGATACCGAAATTTTAAAAACTTAGAAGGTTGTTGAAAAATTTCTGTAAAGCCTAGAAAATAAATTTGATCGCGTGGTGGTGGTGGCTAATAAAGAATCACAACATCTTTCCTGTCTTTGGATAACTTGAAAGGACGATTAGAGGTGAATAAACATGGACGGGACATATGCAATGAGGACACAAAAGAAGAAAAACAAAAATGGTCCTTTCATAATTTTTGAGGAGGAAGAGGATATGGGTCTTATCATCAAAAAGCGAACATGCTATGTTGAATGTTAGTTTTGCCATAAACCCAAGCATAAAATCAATTACTATTCGTTAAACATCGGAAAAGAAATTAAGATCCCTTGGAAAAATTCTCATAAATCCTTATTAATTGCTTCAGATGAAAATGTGGTAATGTTTGATATCGAGATAGTGTAGTCAACAAGCATATGACAAGAGTTTGCTTCCAAATCATTTTGATCGTGGACACGATAATTGGAGATGCGAAATCTTATAAAATTTATTTTTGATGTTATCCGAATTCATGTTGAGTATTTTATTGAAAATATTGTTGGAGGAATATTGGGAGTTAGTTGTAGACTTGAAAAATGTTTTGAAGGAATCCAAGATGGATTATGATCCTAATTTCTTTTTTTGGCAGCTTTTGACTCCTATTTAATCTCAAATATTCCATTATTGATTTTACGTGTCGTAATAGGACTTCGCATTGTATTAGACTCTTGTTTATATCGATTCTCTTAATATGTTAGTAGTTCTTATATTATAAATATGTGGTGCATTATACATATTTATTATATCGGCTGAGAAAGTGATACATTGGAATCTAAAGAGAGACTCTCACAATAGAGATATTAGGTTGAGAGTCTTGTGGGATCCAGATTCGCATAACATAGTTGTAGCTCTTTACTATTGATTATAGTGAATGCTCCACATCTGGCCTCAGTTTTCTTGGATTTGAATTTCCACGTTCAATTTTATGTTCTTGTGTGATTCTTTTCATTTTCCTCATATCTTTTGACTTTAATATTAATAACAAGTGGTATAAGTTATATCATCGAATTATTGCAAATTAGGTTGTTTTCCAGTAAGTGATATTAGAGATCAGGGTTTCGATAGTTCCTGGGAGAGCCAGTTTGGTCTTGTTGATCAACGAGGTTTGATTGTTTCAGGATAGCAAGTATGAAGTTTAAAATTTCGTTTTTGGATCGCAACAAGATTTTTTATTATGGCATATTTTTGGTATGGATATTGGAGGAAAAGAAATATAAGCATCGATTATCTGTTTTGGAAGGTTGTTGTAATCTTGTTGAAGCAATGATATCGAAGAACTTTGGAGCTAGTTTTGATCTTGATGATCGTGTCGCTCGTGGTGATTTGAGCAAGTTTGGTAACTCAGATGGAATTGGTTGTGAATGGGATGATTCAAGTAGGTTTGAAGCTCAAAGTAGTTCTGCTGGTAAGTAATGCTTAGATTTTGTTCACTGTTGTTGAGTATGCCTAAAAGGACATGGTAAAAAAGGTAGAGTTTTAAGTATTTTGTTGAAAAGTTAAATTTTATTCCTTACAATGGAATTCATATCAATGTAGATGTTTGTTAGAATTTCGATGTGACCCGAATTCCTGTTGAGAATTTGATTGAAAATTCTGTTGGTGGACTATTGGGAGTTGATTGTAGACTTGAAGATGTCTTGAAGGAGTTAAAGATGGATTATGGTCCTAAGTCCCTTTTTCAGTAGCTTTTGACTCCTATTTTATCCCAAATATTTCATTATTGATTTTGCATATTGTAATATGACTTCATTTTGTGTTAGACTCTTGTATAAATTAATTTTTCTAATATGTTAGGGATTCTCTCTTATAAATATGTGATGTATTACACATATTTATTTAATCGACTCAAATAGTGATCCAAGAGATCTAGAAAGAGACTCACGTGATAGAAGGTTGAGAGTCTTATATGATCCAAATTGGCATAACATACTTGTAAGTCCTTACTATTGGTTATAGTGAATTCTCCGCCTTCACAAATGGTTTTCTTGGATTTGATGAGTTTGTCACGCAACAGTGTATTTGTTCACAAGTTAGATCCAAGGTTGTACATCCTTGAGAGACTCCACGTATTTCTCTGAGTAATAATATTTACCATCAAGACGATGAAATATCGGTGATATGACAACAAATTATCATCACATTTCTCTCTGTCTCCACTCCCCTCACTCTCATCAAAATTGAACTGTCTAATCTCAATATTTCACATGAATTGTCACATCACCGATATTTTATCGTCGTAATGATAAATAACATTATTTTATTTCTCCTTTCATTCCCAATTAAGCCAATTAATAATCGGCAGTGCGAATTTTCATGCCAATTAAGTTCATTTAAAATGCTAGATATCAAGTACAGTCACCCAAAAGTTCATGAAAAATCAAGAGGTCTCCAAAATCATAAATTAAAAAGAAAAGAAAAAATCTAGTTATCAATCTTGTATTATTTTTTTAACTTAGGGTTATTATAAACAATTAATTTCTACGTTTTACAACTTATAAGTAGTATTTAATTTCATTCTCTAATCTCCAGAATATTTGAGTCTAATGACTTGGTACAAGAAACCTCGGAAGTCCTACCTTGTACCCAAAACTTTTGACATCTTCTTGAACTTGTTTTCTATATTCTCCAAAGCTAAATCTTCTATAGACAGAAGGCTGAATGCAACTTTGTATAACCGTGTCATAGGCCGGACACAGAAAATAAGCAGTGGAGAATCTTTCTTTTAACTCGTTAGCAATGACTCGATGTTCGACACTTTTATAAATGTTATTGCTCCAAGCCTGCACCATAAGAAAGAAAATAGCTCGTCAGAGAGCGAAAATAAGAGAATGTGTAACTTTTCTGCATATGAATAGAGAAAATTGCTCCATGGTCCTCAATATATTGTTGCAGTAGTAATTTTTCGTTATAATTTCACGATCAGTTCTGAAGTGGTCTTAGTATGTCCAACTTAATGGGGATGGAGAAATTTGAAGTTCGACAATTTTAGAACAAAGGTAGGGATGATCAACCTACTTTTTTGTAAAGTTTGATCACGAATTACTACTCGAGAGAGGAACAATAGAGCAATAATCCACATGAATTACAAAGAGAATGACCTGCAACAAATCCCCGATGTTGATAACTAGGGCTTCGGGGTTCGGTTTAACGGCAATCCATTTCCCATCTTTCACCAATTGCAAACCTCCAATATGATCCTGGTGCAGTACTGTGAGGAAGTCACTGTCAGTGTGTGGCATTATTCCAAACATTTGGGGAGACATTGGGCATGGCGGATATCGATTCATTCGAAGGTAACAAGTGCTAGGCACGCATGTTTCCTTGAAGAAAATAGACTTCTGACCTATTTTTTCAGCTAATATGTCTGCCAGTTTTTGTGCTAGTTCAGACACTGTTTTTGCATAATGTTCCATTGTTGAGCTGAATTCACAAAGAAATTAGGAAACATAATAATAAATATCAGAGTTATATAAAGATGAAATAAATAAGAGTTGGGTTTTCAATCTTTATTTTGGACACCATACTGAGAGTTTATGGCATGTTTAACAGTAGAAACGACTAAACATGATTAACGAAAATATACAAGTACAACGTAGCAAATGCGTGTTTATTCCATCTTGATTGATATTCTAAATGGCTATATGGGTTTTTAGGGCGTGTTTGAAATCCGGGGCTAGACGATAAGACATGATTAATGAAAAGAAACATTGTACAAAATTTGTGTCACCTCATATCCAATGCAACGTAAGAAACATGTTTTTAATCCATCTTGATGGATGTTCTCAATGGTTTAAGTGTTTTCTAGTCCATAAATGGATACCCTTTCAGTACAATTCCAAGGGAACGTGGTTGTAAATGCTGTCTGAGAATTAGCCACGAGGAAAAAAATGTCCCTTCGGCAATGTCTCAACCAATTAGACAATTGGAAGTGTAGATAAACAAGTGTCAATGGATCCAAGTACCATGTCTAAAGATTCTCATCCCTTCCTAAAATATGTGGAGCAAATTTGCCTAGTACGAATTGCCTTCTTTAGAGAGTACTACCTCTCAAGACTGTTATTTCTGATTTTAAATGGCTAGAGAAATTTCATTGTAATTAAACATCTCAATAGCTAGCTAGCTAGCTAGTTCTTTAATTAAGAGCATGTGTGGCTCTGCCGAGATTATACTTTCGTTTTAATGTTGACTAACTAGTTTAAAATACAAATCGAGGGATATTCTTATAGCCTATTTGGAGTCGATTTCTTTAAAGAAACTCGAAAATTTCACTATACAAATCTACCTACCCCTATGAGAGTGAACAACAAAAAAATAGGTGTTTGATTGCTTGTTTTCGATATTCATTCAGTTTGCTCTTGTAAGAGCGATTAAGGCTTAATCCCTAACAGATTCTTTCGACTTATATCACATTTTAAGTTAGGCATGTGACTAGATTTCTCTGTCCGAATTAAAAACTTGCAATATGCTAGGTAAGACATACCCAGAAGTTAGCTTTTGTAGTAAGATATTTCAATACACGGAAACAAAAAGCAAGGGGGAAAGGCTACCGAAATCAAAAAAACCGTGGTAGCAGAAAGTTCTTCTTTTGCCGCTGAAAGTTATAGCTTTGGAAAATAATGACCCTTATAGTAAGAAAAACTTTTCTTCTGAAAAAAAAAAGTAACATTAAACAAGTTAAGGTTAGTAAATTACCTGAGATTATTGAGGCCTCCTGAACCCAAAATGTCACTTAAAGAAACATGAAAAGCCTCAGACCAAGATAATTGACTAAGGCAAGTAGCTGTTGGTGCTCCCCATCGATAACTCCCAGCAGAAAAGTTCAAATCTTTGCCATTTTTCTTGTCTTGAAATGGTTTCTTGAATAACTTCACTTGTTCTCTTCTCATTTTCTCCAATATTTCTCGAGAAATCCCATGGTTTATAACTTGAAAGAAACCCCATTCTTGAGATGCTCTAGCTATTTGTTTCTTGCATGATTCTCTCTCGGAATCTCCAAGGTTTAACTGGTTCAGATCGACTAATGGTAGCTCGACTTCTTCCATTACAGAGAGCTGGGGGAAATTCTTTTGTGCTGTATCAGTCAAGTTGTTGAAGAGAGTCTTGTATGTTTCTTGAAATGGTGGATCGGGTGATGATTCGCCCATTCTTACAGGCTGATGAGACAAGGAATTAAAATTATCAGTCTTTAGACGAGATTCTTCGATATGGTATCAGAGCCAGCAAAGATACATGGCTCGATATGAATTCATTCACTCTCTAAAATCTTAAACTTATAGAGGAGGAACTAGTTGAAGAAATATGTCTTCCTTATCGCTCTCTGCGAACATACATAACCCTAGGTATAAACTCTGGCCCAAATCACTATGAATTGGAAACAAGGAAAAGGGAAGGATTGGCCCTCCATTGGACCATGTATAAATAGCAGCCAGGAAAAAGCACAAAAACATTATCCATGGACAGCTGGTCGTATGGCTTAGGCCTAGAACAAAATGTAAGGTTATTATATTAAACTTGATTTGAATAGTGTTTGGATATTAAAATGACAAGAAGAAGAGTATAAAAAATATACTTTGCCCTCCTATGTTTCTTGTTTGTTCGGTCGATGAAAACGTTGTACTTTATCTCTCATTTATACACTCCTTGGATGAATTAGAAGGACAAAGTGATGTCTGTCCTTTGTGTTCGTGTTTGTGTTTCTTTTTCCTTCTTTCTTTGGTTTGTGTGGTGGGTGTCATATAAATTAGTTGGGGTTACTTGGGATAAATACAAAGTTTAGCACTCCTTTCTCTTTAAATAACAAAGAAATAATTTTTTCTTTTAAAATATAGAATATATTTAAATTCCTAGGAATGATATCATGGGAACTTGTATAAGCTATCTAATTTCTTTCACCCAGAAAAAAAAAATAATAATAATAATGGAAGATGTTAGGGTTGTACCACTTTTTATTTTCTTATGTGGGAAGAATTCATTTAAAAGAAGTAAATTGCCAACTTGTCCTCTCAAAGTCTCTTGGACTGAAGTAGGGTTATTTACATTTTCAAGAAGTCATTAGAACGTATTAAAACTATTATATGCATACATATTTGAAATTAACACAAGTACAGGAGACAGGTCATTGAGTAATACACCCAACTAAAAATTGTGAGACAATGTTCAATCATCTTAAATATTTGTCTCCCACAATAGAAAGGTACGAATAAACATGTCTGTAGCAGATTTCAAATGCTTTAAATTTTTTAATTGGAGATATATCATAAATCAATAAATAAATTCTGCACCGTCTGGAGTACTCTAACATCATCCAGGTAACGTCACATCACACTTCTAATAAAAAAAATGAATATACCATGCATGTTAAATAAACTGTTTCCTTGATGATATAAGCTTACTTTGTCAATGTGATCTGGAGCTTTCGCCGAGTTCACCATTAATATCATCTGATGACCATGCATTGAGCTCTAACAGTACGTTTTTCGGTTAATATTAGTGCGATGATCTGCTGGAAATTTTTGATGAGAAAACTTCAGTTTGTTGCATGGCATTTTTATCGTCAACTTGCCGATTTTCTCTCGAACAAAAGCTCGAAGAGTGTATGCATGTACCTGTTATGCACAGGCCGAGCCCCTTTCTAAGCCTTGTTTCATGCAAGTTATTACTATAACATGTCACCCATATTTTAAAAAATGTATGAATAAATATTTCAACACAAATACTTACTTGAAAGAGTACTTATAAGAGAAGAAAATAGTGGTCTTTTTTAACTTCGAATAGTTATGTAACTCTTATAGGCCGTGCCAAATGACACACCAGTGTAGAGTTTCTTATCCGAACTTGCATGAACAAAATGTTGTTTGTTGGTAGAAATTCTACCTAAACAAAGATGAAACAGTAGAAGAGAGAAATTCGAATACGAATACTTGCTCGAAGAGGAGAAAAGAATGGGAGATAGACATATCAAGCGTGTAAGTCTGATGTCCAGGAAGATTGGAGGATAGATATTTATAGTGAAGATAGGATTCATTTTCAGTACTGAAATTGCTAGCGAAGATTTAGAATCTATGTTAAAGAAAAGAACACGCGGTTCACAAAGCAATCAGAGAACCAGTTTTACCTTTTTAAGGATTTGACAATGAAGGTATCCTTTTTTTTCCATTTTATGCAATATTCTGTATGCAACACGGGATTAATTGATTGATTTAACACGAGGCAAAAATTTAATTCGATCTAAACTTAGCAATAATGATCATTTGAAAATTTTAAGTTATGATAAACTAATTATAATACTTTTAACTTTTCAAAAGAATATAGTGAAAACTGATGTTTATTGGAAAAACATAAAATTATTGTCAGAATTTATACTGAACATATATCATTAATCTCAACTACCTTGACGATTCAAGCTATCAGTCGATTGGTGTACATTCATCCAAGTCTACCGCACTATCCCAACTCACCAACTGAATATTCTTACACAATATTTCATTTGGCTCTCATTCTTCCAAGTCTCTCTCTCTCTCTCTCTCAGCTAAGAAAACAATGCACATGAACAATACTGGACCCAACTGTACTAACCACATTAGCCATCTAAGCACATGTCGGCACTGAGTCAATATATTATTATTATTATTACAAATTAAAGTCTATAAATATATATGTTACGTCTCGCCACCAAGGATCAAGTCAAAATGTCACGTAGCAATCCAAGTGAAAGGAAAAGTCAACAAATGAGTCAACGGTCAAAAGTAAAGAGATCAAATGAATGGTTGAAGCTATTATGCCAAAACACTGTCTAAATGGCCGAAGCACGTAAATCTGAAGTGCTTCCTATTAAATCGAAGTTTTATCTAAAGAAAGTCAAAGAAAGAAGACGAAGTTCTTCACACAGAAGACTGATACAAAGCTTAATCCAACTGAGGCCTTAGTTCATCCGAAACTGTCTTTTATAAGATTTGTAGACAATCTTTAGAAATAATTGATGTAACGTTTGTAATAAAGAATGTCAGGTGTGTCGCTTAATGTATAGGGTTGCTGATCCGTTGTCAATTTATTTATTGTATGATAAACAGTGATGTGAAGCCTTTGTCAAGAAGATGAGGCCACATGCTTCTAACCCAACGGATACCACGTCAACCAAAACACTATAAATACGAAGTCTTTGTAGAAAAAGAGGACTTTTGGATCTTAAAAAATCTAAAAAAGAAATACAAAACGGCCTTGTGCGGTTTTTCTAACATGCATATTTAAGAGAAAAAATTCTCCATATATTATCTTGCTTATTCTGTATTCATTAGCTTGATCTTTAGTTGATAATCGTAGGCATTTGATTGATGATTGTTGTTAGCGCAATCATCTCCGTTTTCACCCGTCGATGCTTGAACACTTGCGTCTTCCATCGTGAAGTATCTTCCGCGTTCGCACTTTCCTTGCTTCTTTCCGGTACTCCGGTCAAAACGTGCCAAAATTTGTTCGAGTTGGTGTGAGTGAGCCCAGCATCTGTTGTCCACGTCACCATCACGTTTTTCGGGGTCAACAATATACACATAAGAGTTCAACCACAATGATTAAATTGCCTGATAAAAAAGACAAAAACATTATCACATATCCAAGCAATGACTTGGTAACAGTCGTATAAGAATTGTTATAAACCCAATAAAACATTCCTATGGGAGTTGCTTCAATTTTAGAAGTTCACAACTCGTGGACTTTTTACCTCCAAACAGCATTGTTCCATCAGAGTTTCATCTAATGAGAAAAATTCTCGATCTTTGTCTCCTGCAAGTAAAGTCTAGGCTGCGCCTCAAATTCACAAAATTAATTTGAAAAAATGAGTAGGGATATGCAGGAATCCACCCCCACCCCACCGACACAAACAAAATAACAAAATTTAGGTCACATACATGCTTAGCCCCTATTTAACAACCATTATAAAGAGAAATTAGGAAAAAATGATATTTTGAGTAGTAATTATTTGAAGAATATGTAGTTAAAAAGTAGAAAAAAAATTTGTATTTACGTGTAAAATATTTTATTGTGTGAATATGTAATTGAAAATGAGTATGAAAAATAAAGAGCAATGGGAGTCAAAAGGGTTTAATTTGAATGCCAGTCGACAAAGTAGGAAAGACCAAAGAATGCAGAATGAGAATTTAAGTGCAAGGGTGTGATTTGCTCACAGAGGAAATGACATGGAGTAATGTACCCTCTAGGCCTCACTACAACAGAAAATGTTCGCAACTTGTACGCAAATTGACTATACATACTTGAATAATTGATTTTCTTTACGGAATATCTCTTACGTGTATTGAAAAACTACCAAGTGTTTGTTAAAGTACTTTAGCAGAAACACCTAACATGGGTTGAATTCAACTACATATTTTCTTGTCGAGATTAAACTTTGAAGTGTATTAGGTTATTTATATTTACACCTATAACTATAAGGCTTTTTGTTCATAAAAAATAGTTTACCACATGCCAATATTTAAAGATCCTACCATAATTGAGTTTCGTAATTACTTCCTTTACAATTGATATACATAATTATCCCATTACAAAAATGGATGCAATTTCATAAAGAAAATAATCAATTAAAAGATACATATTATTAATCACCGTAGTCACTTTAAGAGTGCATTATATTAAAGGTTGAACAACAAACTTGAGGGCCTCCCACTATCCCGCTCCTAGAGCATTGTGGAGGGGGTAAATCCCAGGATGTGCCTCAGCAGGTCAGGGTACAAGAGCTGTCATACTGGTACTCACAAAGAGTCCAATTACATACTTTGTAAGAAGCAGGAATCGAACACTCACACTGCGCCTGCCAACTCAACTAAGACTACCTCACTAATGTCTTTTGTACCACTGAACTATGCCCCGAGGAAGCTAAGAGTGCATTATATTGATTGTCATTTACATGGCATATCAATCGAAAAACTTGTTGTCTATTGACATTGATGTCTAATGAATTGACATTCAAACTCCAAATTTATTTACAATATATTGTATATATAACCTAATATTGATGTCTAAGAATCTTTTATATTCGTAAAATAAAAATAAAATCTAATGATGAATAGAAAATATAAATAATGTTGAATAGTAATGTCTAACGGGACTTTCGAGTCTAGACGAAGCTCTTTTCAATATCTACTTTTTTTTTCTTTTTCGTGTTAACTTAATATAGTCCTATCATATTGCATTTGATAGGAATTTAAATATAGTTTATTTTGCTTATAAGTAAAATTTATTTTAGCAGTCCACTGAATTATCGAATGCTCTAAGTTAGTTTAGTTCCTACGTCTTGGGATCTTTGTTATGCAGGTGATGCTTTGAATACATACATATAGCAGCATCAACAAGGGATTAGATTTGCCGAAAATGGTGAAACGACAAAAAATTACATACATTACGAGGAGTTCAATGAGGGCACGTATTATCTAGCTCCCAACCCTTTAGATTGTTTAAACTCTTGTTTGGTGTCCATTATTTTCAAAATTGATTTTTCTCTCTTATTTTCAACTACATATTCTTCAAATAAAATTATATTATACACAAATCCAGAACTTTCTCTTATTTTTTAACCACACATTTTCCATCAAAATATTATTCCAAAATACATTTAAAAAAAAAAAATGGGGCTTAAACATTTCGAATTCTATTTACATTTAATAGAGGCTAAGTCAAATGTTCACATCCTAAGCCTCTTTTTCTTTTGAATGAAAACATAACCCTCCCAGTGTTTTGAATTAACCAATAATAAAATAAATAATTAGACAAATCAAACATTTACTAGTTTGACGACGCACGTGCGATGTACGTGTTGTTGGTGAAGTTGGGTATTAAATAGTGTGTTATTTAAAGAAAAAAAAATGAAAGAAAATGAGGAAGGTTTTGACATAATTTGTAAGTGTATTGTAATTATACTGAAAAAATATAGAATATCTGTAAGTGGTTAGAATATATGGACAAACCAAATTTTTCATACCATATCATCATATTCATTAATCTGAAAAGATTGAGTGCCTCAATTGAATAAAAAAATTGAAGTCTAACGATGGTGACAAAAGTGAAACAATAAGTGGGTGAACTTCAATGCATTTAATGACAAAAAACATACTAACTACAAGAGTGCATAAAATTAAGTTTTTCTTCTCTTACAACCACTCAAAAAGAAAAAGGAAAGAAAAAAAGTTTTAACTTAAAGTATATTGAATAAACATCAAC